CGCCCCCTCCCTCACGCCCTGGCTGGCAGGGCGGGGCTTGGAACGGCGGCGGGGAGAGCGCGGGAAAGGAGGGGACCCGGGTTGGTGGGCTGGAGGGCAGTCTTCGCCTCTAATTAGTCCTTAGTATTAATTATTCACTAACTAGCAGCCTTTTTGGACCAGGACCCACTTGGAAGCATCGACGGCCAGTCCCAGCCCAGTGCCTCTCACTCCTGACCCAGTGCTCCCTGCCCGGGAGGCCTAAGCAACCCCTCACAGGCTGGAGCTCTGGCAGCTGGCAAGGGGAAAGCCATGGTTTCCCTCGTTTTTCTCCCTTTTAAAGTTTGGTCAGGACCCTGTCCTATATTCTTGCGACCCAACATCAATGGCCAGGCCTGATTCACTGCCCTTTGCTCCCAGACCTTCCCTAGAGCCATGATACTGGTAGTGCCATTTCCAGTCCAAAGCATGAACGCTTCCCACCCAAGAATGGGTGCAGGAACGCTGCTGCCTGTCATGGCTGTAGGACGCCGCTTGTGCCCTTCTCCGCACGGCAGGAAGCATAGGTAGAGGGAAGGTGCTTCTGCCTCCGCAGGAGCCTGCCTGCCTTCCCTCTTGTCCTGCCACGTTGTGCACAAGCGGGATGTTGGCTGCCCTTGACCTGCTGCAGGGTCGGGTGCTGTGGCAGGGTCCGGTGTTGTTTAGCATAGAGGTTATGTAGAGCTTTTCATCCTCCAGGTAAGACTGATGTGGAAGGCGGTCGTCCTTGGGTGCCAGGGATTGCTGATGGCAACGCAGAGTTTAGAGCGGAGGTCAGACATGTTTTTGGACAGACAGACAAAAATGCCTGCAAACTTGGCTTGTAAGATGTTTTATTGTGCCGGGGCAGATGGCGGGGGAGCTGCAGGGGGCCCGATCCTTGTGGCAGTGCAATCCCTGCCCCTTCCCTGCCATCTGCTCTAAGGTGCACGTGCCAAGCAAAATGCCATCACGTGCCACACTCTGGCACCCATGCTGGGGGTTACCTAGCCCTAGCTTATTGAGTGGTTGTATGGGATGGTTTGGGTAGGGCTGATCCTGCCTTGGGCAGGGGGTTGGACTAGAGCAACGTTTCTCAGCCCCGTGGGTCACAACCCAACAGCAGGTCGCAAGACTATGTGAAAGGGTCATGAACAAACTTTAAAAATGGATTGTCCTTTAAAGGAGAAAAATGTGGGAAACTGCTGGTTTTCCCTTGCCAGCTGCCAGAGCTCCAGCCTGCAAAGGGCTGCTTGGTGCCCCTCATGTCCCACACACCCACCCCTGGCCCCACGTATGGTGGGACTGACGGCAGGAGGCAGAGGGTCAGGAGGGGGCTCCATGGTTCGGAGCCCCCTCCACAGGTGCCCCCTGGCCACACTTGCAGTTCATGGTGTGCTAGGAACCAGCTGCAAAGGTCTTCCCCCTAATTTGGGGAATAACCTTGTGGCTTATTCCTTGTTCTGTTTTTTGTCTTTCTTTCCTTGTTTTGATTGTGTTGCGTGAACATATGTTCAGGTAACCACTTAAAACACAATCCGTTGGTAGACCAGGGTGGGTGATAGGCTGATGTAGAGTTTTGATGATGGATTTATCCGGGATGGGTTGGATAAGGATGATCCTGCTGCACACAGGGGGGTTCGACTAGATGGCCTCTGGAGGTTGCTTCCAGCCCTCCTGCTCTGACTCGAAGTATAACATGTGCCGAGGACCTTGGATTCAGCAGGCTTCCTTCCACCCCAGCCACCTCCCAGTATGGCCTCCCTGACGACTGTCTGGCTGCCTTTGGACTGCGTCATGGCACTGAGTCAGGGTTGTGTTCAGGCACCCCCTGTTCTTTGCCTCTGAGTTGGTATTCTCTGCTTTTTGAATTCAGCATCACTCCTCGTATTGATCACCTACTCTGGAGGAAGTATCTCCCTGCCATTTGTTTTCTGCTTGCATACCTTGCATCAGGACTGTCCAACCTTGGAGTGGCTGGGGGCTGTGTGTTGTTCAGGCCATAAGGTGTGCTGTGTAGTGAGTGCCTTTGCACAACACTGTGTCCCTCCACCGCACTGTGTGGCAGGCATGACCCTGCAGTACCATGCCAGTGACCCAGTGCTACATTGCACAGGATCCCTGGGGTCCCCTGAGTTGCTGTCCTGCCCCACCCCCAAGGGTGGAAGCAGGAGGCCAAAACTCCAGTGGCAATAGCAAAGATCTGGCCCACAGACCACCAGTTGGACAGCTCCTCCTTTCATCATTACTTCTGTCTCTTTGTTTGTGCTGGAGGCTTTGTGTCTTCCCATCATCTTCAGGGGCATCAGGTTGGTTAATTAAATTACTAGGAAGCGCATTAAGGCTAAAGGGATCAAAATCTTGGACAGAGTGGGAGTGAAATCTTGGGATGTCTGTTAGAAGCTCTGAAACTGATGGCTGCTAATCAGTTTCATGGCCCCTGTGACTGCAAGGTTTGCAAACGCTAGGCATGTTCAAGGCATTGCCTGGCACTGATGTGGGACCAGTTTTTTCAGATTCAGAAGGAAAGACTGATTTCAAGAAGCCCTCGGGATGCTGAGATCCAACCCTGAAATGTTGATGGAACTACATTACCAGTTCTGCAGGTGGAACTGTGTTGGCTAGGAATGGGGAAACATCACACCCCATAACTGATGTAGTATATTGCCTACTTACCCTTGCTGTCTTGCATTATTAGGTGTGAAGTAAGGCAGCATATGCTGTCAGCTGCTTTTCATCTCACTTTATCCTCTCCTGCTTTCCATAGTAATGTCATCTTGGACCTCCCTGGAGAGACTGCTTTGAGAACAAACTCTGTTCTTTCTGTGCTTTTTCCCCTTTCTTTTCCTTTTACAGATGTGGTGTGCCCCAGAAGCATTTGGGCTTCCCATTTTGCACACTGCTTCCTAATGCCAACTGATTTGCATCTCTTTGTAGGTGCTCTTCTTTGGATTTGGGTGGCTGTTCTTCATGCGTCAGCTCTTCAAGGACTACGAGGTAAGGAGGGAGCCTTTCATTCAAACAGTCATTTGGCATATGGCAAAGTGATACTGTTGCCTTTGAATCAAATGAGTAAAAGGTACTTTCAGGCACTTCCCCTTCCTTTGAGTTTTCTGTCTTTTTTTGCTTTTACAGTTATACTTTCCAGTTATTTAAAAGGGACATTTTTCCTCCTCATTTGTGGTCTGAAAGGTACATTCAGACAAGAGGGAAAACTTGTGGTGATACAAGAGAGAACTGTGTAGGCTAGGGATGACTTGGGCAGGCCTAATGCAGCCCTGCAGAATTTTATAGTTGCTTCCCACTACTCTAATTCAAAATTGGGGCCAGCTGAGACTGCAAGCAGTGCTCTGTGTTTATCTAAGTGGTTCATCTTTGCTGCATGCTGGAGTATGTGTTCCCCATAAACAGCCCTCTGTATTATGCTGCGCTCAGCTGTTGTATGACATGGATGTAGCCTTCTAGTTCCTAACAGCTGCTGATTGATCTTCGATTTTGGCAAGGGCAGGCACCCCACATCATAGACTCTGCTGAGTAAGACAGCTCATGGTTTGTGTCTGATATGTACATGGACAGCAGCCTATGAGGATGGAAGTAACTTGTATCCTGTTTGCTCCATTGCAGGTGCGGCAATATGTTGTGCAGGTGGTCTTTTCCGTGACCTTTGCCTTCTCCTGTACCATGTTTGAGCTCATCATCTTTGAGATCTTGGGGGTGCTCAATAGCAGGTGAGTGTGAGAGCTGTCATGGCAAATCTTCCTAAATATGGACATGGCCAGTGCTGGGTTTTCTAGGGGCTCTGGAACTAGTTTTGAGTTAATTATCGCCTGTCAAGGAAAAGGCGGGTTTGGAAGGCAAAAGCTACTCAGTTCCCATGTGATCTCTGCTCCTGGCAAACTCTGGGTCTTGAGGGCAAGTCTTTTACCTCCCTGCCTCAGTTTCTCTGTCTGTAAAATAGGGTTAATATTTACACTGTTCCTCATGGAGTATTTTGAGGATTAATTCAGGTTATGTTAAATGATGTTAATATTAACAGCTAAAGAGACAGTCGGAGCATAAGAAGATAAGTCTGGAAGGGGTCTCCTGAGCCATTGGGTCCTGTCCCTCTCATTTTCAATTAATTGTTTACTCAAGAAATCCCCTGAATTTCCAGCTCAAACACTCACATCTACCTACAAGAAACAATGCTGAAACACCCACAGAACCCTGCAATGTGACAAATAAGAGGGCTACTACAAGGAGGAGCTGCTCTATACATCATGATGGTTGATGCAGTGATAAGATGTTAAGTTAACAAAGGAGCAAGAGTTATACTGCAATAAGATGATAGTATTCTATAAATCAATGGTACGTCTTCACCTTGCTTCATCTGAAAAGCTTAAAAGCATGAAGGGAAACCTTCCATATAAAGAGAACCTTCCATAGGTTTACTTCAGAAAGGAATACCAGAAGACATAAAATAGTGAAAAATAGTCTACTCCAATGCTCCTATTTAACTTTTTATTCTTACCTACTGAGAAGAGAGTATTCAGAGAAATTTTAAGGCAGCACATTCAAACCTGATGAAAGGCAATGTTACCTCACATAATGAATTATTAACCTATAGATTTGCTGCCACTAATATCAAAAGGACTATTCTCCTTATTGTGAATCATACACAGAGACATCAGTATATACAAGAGCATCTACAGTTTCAATACCCAGAAAAAAAATGACAACCATTGTTACTAGTGCTTGTACTTTGGTTCAGTAGTAAATGCAAAGACATTTCGCCTAAAGCTAGGTGAAATTTTTTAGTCAAACAATTTATGCATCAAACCCCACAATTTTAGGTCAACCGAAACAATGAATATATGGGGAACTAGGCATATAATTTCTGCAAGGGGAGCGGGGAGAATGAACGAAACTTAGAATGTAATTTAAAATTTTTAAAATGCATCTATATTTAATTAGAAAAAAACAACCCATCTGAAAATGAATATTTGGTCAGCATAGCATCAAAATGCAGGTTGACCTGAACCTAAAATTTTTTCCTGATTTTTTTTTTTTTTTTTTTTGTCTCAATTGGTGAACCAGAAAGTAAAGTATTTGCTTGGCTCTAATTTTGCCTTGCACAATTAAGTGCATTCTGGAGTTAATGGTATTCTCACTATGGGCACAGGGTGTGTGATTCAAAAGCCTTTTGCTCCTTCATTAAGGTACATAGAAAGGGATTTGTGTTCTTGAGGTCTCCAGCAAGATACAGCCAGGGCTGTCCTGGGTTTTAGTCCAGTGGTTCTCAGCCAGGCTACTGCTTCTTCCAGGGGTGTTGTGGCGTGGGTGCTGCTGCAGCCAGGATAATCTGGCTACAGAGGCAGATCAAGAAGCAGCTGCTGCTCTTCCTGCAGTTCTTCCAGTCTAACCCCCTCCAAGCTCTTCCTGAAATCAGAGAAGCGCTGGCCAGGTGGTATCATGCACCCATCTGTTCCTGGGAGGAGCATGCAGGGTCAGACTGGGAAAGACTGTGGCGATAACATGCGCTCTGGCTGCAACCCTTTGCACTGCCCTTTCAGAGGGGTCCTGTTGTGTTGGAGCCGCCATTTGCATTGCACAGCCAGAGGAGTTGGGTGTGGGCACACTTGGGGCGGCAGGTAAGACCACCCTCCTTCCTCCCATACCCTAGCGGCACAGGGGAATTTTTCCTAGAGCAAAAAACTCATGAGTTATGTCTGCT